AGATCGCCAAGCGTCGACCAAGCGAGCAAAGCAGAGAGCGCGAAGCAGTGGAGGAAGCCTGGTCAAACGGCTGCGAGGGAGAGGACAGCGACATCGAATGCGCCGTGTGCCTGAGGGCACACCGACCAACGACCAGTGTGAACACACAAGACGTCCAGAGCGACGGCGAGCATCGTGCCGACTCAACAATCAATCGAGCAGTGGAGAAGCCGGGGGCTGCCACCAAGAAAGCGCGTGCGCCACCTTGCGCCACCGTGCGCCACCCTGCGCCACCGTGCGCCACCGGGCGCCACCGTGCGCCACCGAGCGACACCGAGTGACACGAGCGACCGAGCATCTTCAAGGACAGCATCGTGCCAACGCCGCTCAATCCAGCAGTGGAGAGAGAGAGAGAGAGCAAAAGCCGAGCGACACGCCGAGCGAGGGAGCAGCAGGAGCTTGCGGCGGCCACGCCCAATCGAGAGGAACACCTGGCCGCTGTTTGTATCCTCCTACACCACACAAGCTAACGACACAATTAATATTACGAGAGGACAACGCACACACAGCACGCACACGAATAAGACTTTCGAAAAGTGATCTTTGCGTTTCAAAAAGGGTTGCCATTTCGAGGTGGTGCGTTCAAAATCAACTGATCGTGCAAAGCAGTTGCTGCCGTCGAGTTGCATGAATAAGAAATGTTTTAGTCATTCATTTTCGTTAACTGCATAATCTCGCCAATGAAGAAGTATTTTTAGTCATTCAATTTCGTTAATTGCATAAGATTGCCCATGAATTTATTGACGTATACTCGCTTTCGCATACTAGAGTGTCATGTGCTTGTTTAGAATTAAAATTGCTTAACACCAACTGTTCGAGTGCTTCTTTCCAAGTCCATGCAAAACTGTCTTATTCTTGACAACTGTATCCTGTGATGAGATCTGAACCTGGAGACTAAAAATAATAAACACACTAAGATAATCAGCAAATGTTTAATCGATGATAATCGTGTTATCCTGATTGATATAACCCTGGATAAACGAAACCAAGCCTAATTAACATAACTGCACACATTAACATAACCGCAAGCATCCGCATAAATTACTACGATTATCATAATTTATGCATATAAATTACACGCATTATCATAATTTATGCATATTAATACACACACTATCATAATTAATGCGATTTGCGCATTTTTCGGAAAATTATTAATTTTTATTATTTTTATCAAAATTTCATAACACAACATATACAACATAGGACTTATACCGAAAATGACGTATACCAAACGATTTTTTCCCATAATAAATAAATGGAAAGGAAATAATCCGTTCCAGAGGAAAATAAATTATATTTTATATGGCATATTATACATTAATGGGGTTGTATAAAATAATTTAGACACTAATTACGAAAATGCTTACAGAAGCCACGTGACCGCGCTGCTGCCAGCTGCGCTGGCCACGTGGCGTGTCTCAACCCCGCAAGTAGCACGCGCCTCGACCTGGGGCCCTCCATGGGGGCAGCCCCCCACGTCCCCCGCCCCTCTCCTTTACGTCCCCCGCCCCTCTCCACCACGCTACCCTGCCCCTTTTCCCCACATCCCCCGCCCCTCTCCCCCACGCCACGCCACCCCGCCCCTCCCCCCCACGTCCCCCGCCTCCCCCCGCTACCCCACCACTCTCGCTTTGTCTCAGTCGTGAACGGGGCATACGCGGGTACTGTACGCGGTGACTCATCCCGACCCACACAAGTTTTAGCAAAGGCGTCGTATCCCAAGCAAGACGTCGTATCCCAAGATATATTTTATATGTATACGACGTATACCAAATTCGACGTATTCCAAAGCGGTTGTATACCGAGGTTCCACTGTACTTCCCGAAGCTGTCTGAGGCAAAGGTGAAAGCTGGTGTTTTCGTCGAATCACAGATAAAGAAGATCCTGGAGTGCAATGAATTCCCCAAGAAGCTCACAAGTAAGGAGAAAGCGGCTTGGAACAGCTTTGTCGCAGTCGTTCGGGGCTTCCTGGGAAATCACAAGGCCGAAAACTATGTGGAGCTGGTTGAGACTCTGGTGAAGAACGATGGCACAATGGGCTGTAGGATGTCCCTCAAAGTCCATTTCCTTGATGCTCATCTTGATTAATTCAAGGAGAATATGGCAGCGCACTCGGAGGAAATGGGCGAGCGCTTCCACCAGGATATACTGGACTTTGAACGCCGCTACCAAGGACAGTATAATGAGAACATGATGGGAGGCTACATTTGGGGGCTGATTCATGAAAGTAATTTACAGTATAATTGCAAATCTCAAAAAACTACTCACTTCTAAATCTTTTGTAATAATTTTGTATTACTTTAGTATAAATACATGTTAATTTCGATTCATATGTTTTTTTTTCTGACTTTATGTGAACAAAAAGACACAAATTCGACCGTTTTCTCATTGAAAATAGGTACATTTCTAAATATCACTGTCCTGGTCACAAAACCAAAGTTTGTGGGGAATAATAGCCATTTTCTATACTTTTTAGGCAGAAGCAATTAAAAAATAACACTTACTACCCAGGGACAAAAATTGTGTTACACATAGTGTAGTCATGCGTAAGTGATGTCACTCCACATCGAACAGCCCCCTTCATTAATAATCATGAGCAGATGACATCACTCCACATGGAGCACGCACCCCCCTAATTAATAATCATGAGCAGGTGACGTCACTCCACATCGAACAGCCCCCCTAGTTAATAATCATAAGGTGACGTCCTCCAAATGGACACCTCCCCCCATTCATAATAATTAGCGGCTGACGTCACTCCACATGGGGGGCCGAGGTGCCTCCTCCCCCCTCCTCAGCGTTAACTTACAAACCTCACTACAAAGGCAAAACCCTCAAGTCAAGCAATCTCCGTAATGCTATTGAGACATCAAAGTAAAAAGGACGTCATGATGAACAAGGGATTATAACCTTAAAATGAATTAGGTCTGTGTCACTGCGCCCTTACAAATTGCACACGCATTAATGCAATGAATATCACGTCGCGGTCTGCTTTTCACTTGCAAGTTTCAGATTAACTGCAATACACCCGTCCTTGGACGGGCTAAAGGCTAGTTGTAAATAATTGAGCAGTTTTACATACAGTGAGGGAAAAAAGTATTTGATCCCCTGCTGATTTTGTACGTTTGCCCACTGACAAAGAAATGATCAGTCTATAATTTTTATGGTAGGTTTATTTGAACAGTGAGAGACAGAATAACAACAACAAAATCCAGAAAAAACGCATGTCAAAAATTTTATAAATTGATTTGCATTTCAACGAGGGAAATAAGTATTTGACCCCTCTGAAAAACATGACTTAGTACTTGGTGGCAAAACCCTTGTTGGCAATCACAGAGGTCAGACGTTTCTTGTAGTTGACCACCAGGTTTGCACACATCTCAGGAGGGATTTTGTCCCACTCCTCTTTGCAGATCTTCTCCAAGTCATTAAGGTTTCGAGGCTGACGTTTGGCAACTCGAACCTTCAGCTCCCTCCACAGATTTTCTATTGGATTACGGTCTGGAGACTGACTAGGCCACTCCAGGACCTGAATGTGCTTCTTCTTGAGCCACTCCTTTGTTACCTTGGCCGTGTGTTTTGGGTCATTGTCATGCTGGAATACCCATCCACGACCCATTTTCAATGCCCTGGCTGAGGGAAGGAGGTTTTCACCCAAGATTTGACGGTACATGGCCCCGTCCATCGTTCCTTTGATGCGGTGAAGTTGTCCTGTCCCCTTAGCAGAAAAACACCCCCAAAGCATAATGTTTCCACCTCCATGTTTGACGGTGGGGATGGTGTTCTTGGGGTCATAGGCAGCATTCCTCCTCCTCCAAACACGGGAGTTGAGTTGATGCCAAAGAGCTCCATTTTGGTCTCATCTGACCACAACACTTTCACCCAGTTGTCCTCTGAATCATTGACAAACTTCAGACGAGCATGTATATGTGCTTTCTTGAGCAGAGGGATCTTGCGGGCGCTGCAGGATTTCAGTCCTTTACGGCGTACTGTGTTACCAACTGTTTTCTTGGTGTCTATGGTCCCAGTTGCCTTGAGATCATTGACAAGATTCTCCCGTGTATTTCTGGGCGGATTCCTCACCGTTCTCATGATCATTGCAACTCCACGAGGTGAGATTTGCATGGAGCCCCAGGCCGAGGGAGATTGACAGTTCTTTTGTGTTTCTTACATTTGCGAATAATCGCACCAACTGTTGTCACCTTCTCATCAAGCTGCTTGGCGATGGACTTGTAGCCCATTCCAGCCTTGTGTAGGTCTACAATCTTGTCCCTGACATTCTTGGAGAGCTCTTTGGTCTTGGCCATGGTGGAGAGTTTGGAATCTGATTGATTGATTGCTTCTGTGAACAGGTGTCTTTTATACAGGTGTAACGGGTTCCGGAGACACTTGTAGATGTAACTTCTTTATTACAATACAACACTCCAACAGTCCTGATACTCTGTTACAGCCTAGGTACACAGCCTAGCTACACAGCCTAGATACTCTAGATACTCTACTCTGGCTACGCTCGCCCTCACAAGGTCGTAGTCCCAGCGCTGGCTCTCACAGCATCCCAGGGTCTTCAGATGGCTGGTCGTGGGTCTTGGGTCTTGAGTTACAACTGGGCCCCGATCGTCCAGGGAGCTCTCCTTTTATGCCTGGTCCGACGAGGGGTGGGGCCGTGTGCGCCACCAGACATCCCACAGAGCACACACAGCCCCCCCCCCCCCCCCCGTTGGCGGCGCCAAAAAGGCTTAAGCGCCTGGGAACCCAACGCCTGGCGCCCAAAGGCTTAAAAGCGTCTGGACCCCCTGGGAACCCAGTGCCTACAGCAGCCCCTCCCTTCTTATGTCACTACACAGGTAACAAGCTCAGATTAGGAGCACTCCCTTTAAGTGTGTGCTCCTAATCTCAGCTTGTTACCTATATAAAAGACACCTGGGATCCAGAAATCTTTCTGATTGAGAGGGGGTCAAATACTTATTTCCCTCATTGAAATGCAAATCAATTTATAACATTTTTGACATGCGTTTTTTCTGGATTTTGTTGTTGTTATTCTGTCTCTCACTGTTCAAATAAACCTACCATTAAAATTATAGACTGATAATTTCTTTGTCAGTGGGCAAACATACAAAATCAGCAGGGGATCAAATACTTTGTTCCCTCACTGTATATAAATTGCATTGGCATATGTGGTCATTGACACGGTAAAACTAGTCAAGATGGTGTGGTGGTGTTGCAGTGTCAAGAAAAGTGCTTCATGGTGTCTTAAACTCTCTTCTCATTTGACAGCAATTGGAGAGTACAGCCATGTCTTTAGCTGCATGCAGTGAGGCATGGGGCGTCTGCGAGAATGCCGGCAATTCACGGAGCAAGACCAGAGGTCGAGCCATGCTGCCCACGTCTAGAGAGGTATTTGTGTGCTTGAATAATAATAGTGAAAATTATTGTACAGGCAGACCTTGCTTAGCGCTCAAAATGTGTATGCTGGAGAAGTGGCCACTAATCAAATCGGCGCATAAAGGAGTTCATTAGACAATTGTATATATGGGGATGCATTCCCAACAGCTTTAATTCTTACATGTGTAATGCGAGCGTAGGCTGGGGCTTCGCCGCCCCAGCCCCTAACTCATCCAGGCGACACGAGCCATCGGGGGAAGGGTTCAAGGGTGGAGCCCGCGGGCGCTAGGGGGTGGTATTATCTGGAAAGTTCTCAAGGGGTGTGGTGAAGGGCAGAGTCTGGGTGACGCGGGAAGGGGATATAATGGAGAGCCGGAAGGGGCTCGAGGTCAGTTGGTGAGAGCTGGAAGCTGGACCACGTCGCGGGTCTCCGTGAGCCATCGGCCACGTGGCGACGCGGAGACGGCTCCCAGCGCGCCGTCTGCCAGCGGTGCGCGGGAGCGGGGAAGCGGGACGCCAGCTCACGCGACGCGCCGCGGAACGTCCGAGAGAGCGGAACGCGAGCTGTCCATATAACGAAGAAATAAACAGACGGAGACACAGTCGCTTCTTCTTGGTTCTTTCGGTAAAGTCACGTAGAAGGGAAATAATAAAATAATAAAAATAAAACATAATAAAATACAATTTTCACGACGTTTCGGCCACAACGCAAGCAGCCGTCCTCAGGTGAAGAACAGGTCTGTCGGGGAGACAGCGTCTGAATGAACACAGTCGCTTGTCGTCGACCTGTATTATTGCACATGTATGAGCAATATATGAGGGCTTCATTGAGGTATTGGTAACAGCACTAATTATACAGATGCTAAAACTTCTTTTGAATAAGTAATATTTTAAAATACTTTTTTTTAAACACGCTTTAATAAAATGTACCGTATGAGTAATGGCAGAACTCCACAACTCCAGGAAGTGGCCCCGAGGCTTGCCATAATGTAAGGGACCGTGGTCAATTACAGCCTACGTAAGTTGAGCGTTGACAATTAGACCCAAGCCGAAACATAACATGTAAAAAAGATTGTTTCAAAATATATATTTTATTTTTTTTGATAGAATATAGTATTGTCATTGATACGGCTATTTTAATACACAATGGACTGGAAGGACAAGATTAAAGGGCTCGTATAATGCACATGCATAATGTACGTTGACTCATTAATCGCCCCCCCTCCACTTTACGCAAGAGCGTGAAGTGTGGTCACCACATCTACGCCTCTATATAAGGAACAAAACAGGTGGACTTCTCCACAAATCTGTCTGTCGCCTGATGAAGCTAGTTGTAATACTGGCAAAACATCGTACTCAGATTGTAAATGTTGTGGCTTGGCTCTCCAACACACCAGTGTGCTGTACTAGTGACAAATTGGCATGTTCTGTTTACATTACAACCCTTACTAGTTGGCTGTGTCGGGTGGTGGTGGATTTTAACGACACATATATTTACACGATCTAACAAAACAAACCTCTTATGGATGATATTCGTCGTGAAAGCCTACATGTTAAACGGGATATTCGATGTCCCCTGTGAAGCCGATGGCGTTTATTTTACGGCTCGTACATCTTAGTATTAACCAGGACGGCCTGTCGGAATAGAACCGCAAACCTCTGCAACAAGTGGCAAATGCACTACCGCTGAGCCACGTCAATTATTTTATTCATAAACTTAGGTTTCCACGGCCAGCGTTATGATGCATAGTTGATTTGTGGGCTTAATTGAGGAGTGTGTATGTTCTCCACCTGCTGTACATGGACGACTCGAAGACTGAACTTTTAGTAAGGGCTTGCGCCAGTTTATTAACACAGAGGTAACAAAACACACCAGAGGTAGGTGTCCCTACACTCAGTCCTTGACGCGGACGTCAGGCTCTATCTATTCCTAGCCTGGGCTATCTCTTGGCCTCTCACTCGAGTTGGGATGGGGGCTTATCCAACACCACCCGACCGAGGAGAGCAGCACCCCACGTAATCTTAACCGGCTCTTGCAGACTTCTCTGAGCCCTACCCCTGGCTGTATCTTCGGCTCTCCTACTCGTAGAACCCGGACGGGGGATCAGCCAACACCGTCCGGTCACGAGCAGGAGAGACCTTCTTAAGACGCTCACCATCCCGGGCTCCCACAACGACCCCGCTTTCGCCACGAGGTCCCCCTTAAGTATTTCCCGTGACATGACGTCATTGCGCCTCACAGCGCTCATGATGTCATGTCGTCATACTACTCTACACATGTGTAGTGAGTGACATTGGGGATGTAACTGTATGGTGCCGGACAGCATCGTGTGTGTTGCAGAGTGATGCCGGCTCTAGCAGAGCACGGCGTGCGATGCACTGTGTTGCCTCTGAAGAAGAACTTCTGCAACTCAGTTGGACTCACTACACATGGATTTCCTCCCATAAAATAAAAAACCCCTTCCAATTGAACATGTATTGCTCATCTATCCCAATGCTGGAAATTACTTGCAAAATTACTGAATTCGGATGACACATGCAATCATCATCCCCTCCTGCTGCCAAAAAAATGGCATGACCCTCGTTAAAAATATTCTTGAGACTTAGGATTTTCTGGGTCAGGAAGTGTAACAATAATAAAAATGTCCTTGTCCCTAACTCTTGTTTCTGTCCTCCTGTACAGCCGCGAGGTGCGTGGGGTGGTGGCACGTCTCCGCGCCGAGTGTGGGTCACTGTCCGTGCACGCAGTTGCCTTGGCCCACACTCAAGGTGATCTGAACAAGGCCTTGGGACACGTTCGTAATGAGAAACAGGCAAATGTGCAAGCTTCTAGCATGCGATCGCGACGACCTACACGTGAGGTGGTAAGTCTTGAATAATAATAATTTAGTTGACAGTAATACCCCGGTTTATGTCGGGGATGCTTTCCTTAAATGTGCGGCAACGAATACCGAAACGACGTAAATCAACGCAATTTTGCCACGAGGACTAAACAATGCTGAAGCCGTATTAATGCGTGCATCTTCATCCTAGACGTATCCGCAACATTACATTCAATTACTAAAAATACTACACTCAATACTAGTTTCGGCAGTGAACGTTAAAACATTATTAGCAGTACATTATGAAAATAAAATCACTAAAATATCATGCGTAATTACTATATTGTACTCCATAGTACAGAACATTTCTTTATGCGCGATGCAAAGTAGTTTGTGTACAGGGTTAGGTGGAGGTGAAGGTTGAGAGGCGACAGGTTACGAGAAAGGGCAGACGATGCTGTCAGCGACATGAGTGTGGGTTGAGGCAATGCTAGTCGGGTAGCGGTGGTGTTGATAATGAAGTGACAACGTATTTTCTAAACGATATAAAAGGGGGAGGTGTAAAATCGCAAGGCTTACAGCGCAAGGCTATCACGAAGGCGCAGTACAGCACATACAGTAGTCTGCAGTAGCTACATGTTGTGATGTTGCTTTGTGGAATGCCAATTGAGGAATTTGTCGGTCATTTGTGAATTTGGAAAATTTGAACCGTGACAGCAACACACATTGGCCTACTCTTATCAAACTAGCTTCTTTGCCCATCCTAGGATGGAAGCTGTAATATTTACGAAAAAAATTAGCAGAGTATAATTGTATCTTGTGTTAATTGAATGGCAGTGAATCTTGCACGAAATTATGTCATAAAACACTTCACTGCATTTCACTGTAGCACTGTATATAACTGACCTTCAATTTGTTCTAATTCACTGCTCTGATACTTTATTATTTTCTGCTTTCGGTCGCTGGGGTGCAAATAAATTGGATTGCAATACAATATCTGGAAAATCACCGAGAAATGTCTATGTAACCAAAATGTAGAAGCATAAATTAGACTTATCTTAGGAAAAAATATAGACCCCAAATCCAATTTGTTGCCGCGTAGAATTATTTATTAGATTCATTTTAAATAAAGAAACGTGAAACTTAAAGCGAATTTGCAACAAATAATAATTCTGCTCTACCTTAATGACGGGGGTGCGGCATGTGGAGTGACGTCACGCGCGGGACACAAACGCCCTAATTAATAATCATGAGCGGATGACGTCACTGATGTGGACCACGCCACCCACCCCCTCATTAATAATCAAGAGTGGATGATGTCATTCCACATGGAGTTCCCCCCCCTGATCAATAATCATGAGCGGATTCCGTCACTCCACATGGAGCTCCCCCCCTTCATCAATGATCATGGAATGATGATGTCACTCATGTGGACCCTGGCCCCACGCCCTCATTAATAATCATGAGCGGGTCTTTATTTTCGATTGAATATTTCAGATTAACTGCAATACACCCGTCCTTGGACGGGCTATAGGCTACTTTTATAATAATTTAGAAGCAAAAATTAGACTTACCTTTTGTTTCAAGTGCTGAAGAAATAAATAAAGACACCAAATACACTTTGTTGCTGCGTAGAAATATTGATTTGATTACATTTCAATAAAGAAACGTCAAATTTAAAGTTAATTTGCGTAAAACAAATTATTTCCAATCAACCTGCGGGAATGTAAAAATCCACCCGCTCATGATTATGAATGAGGGGGGGGTGTCTCTTTTGCAGTGACGTCACGTACGGATGTAGCACTGCTGCGTATATTTATTTTTTTACTTTCTGTAAAGAAACGTCATATTTGAAGCAACTTTGCGAAAAAACTATCTTTCCACTCGGCCTTCCGCGTGAGTGTAAAAATCCACCCGCTCATGATTATTTTATTATTAATGACGGGGGAGGGGGTATGTGGAGTGACGTCACGTGCATTACACACATTTCTGGGCTATTATAGTAGTAATGCCATCAGCGGGAATTGTAACGTCCACTGTGAAGCGTCACTTTCATGTAAATTGCATCATCAGAATCGCTGATTTAGATCTCTGTATCGCGAGAAGAAAGCTCAAAGTGGTCCATGGGCGACCGGGATTTTGCTTCGGTGGCCATTGGACTTTGGAACTCTCTGTCAAAGTTGGTCAGGGAGTCTAGTTCAGTTTGGGCCTTCAGGTCCCCCCTAAAAATATTTATCTTTTAAGAAAGCATCTCGAATTTTAACTTAGCCACTTCTTACCCCCCCCCCCCCCCCCATTGTAAGGCACCTTGATGTTTTATGCATGGGGTCAGTAAAAGAGAAGAAGCAGAAAGAGAAGTGTTGTGAGCTGCGGTCCTGAGTGAATGTGTGTAGGGCTCGGTGAGTGAGCGTGTGGGTGATTTGCCACAGTGTAATGGTTAGCACACTGGATTTGCGATGATCCTAAGGTCACCAGTTTGTTTCTATGGCAGTTGAAACAACGGTGCAAGTCTCTCGAATTCCCCCCCTCCACTTGTGTAAGAACTCATCATTCATTCGTCGGAAATGTAAAAAAACAATTCAGGACCTGACTGTGACTCAGTGTGGATTTCCTGGACTAAGTCTATTTTATTATTATAAAGAATTAAAGGGGCTGTTTGATGACACGACTAGAGAGCTGGCTTGCACTGCAGGGAACTTAATATTCAACTTGGATTCCGCAACCCTCAATGGCCATTTTAAGTTAAATTTGTGCATGTAAGACTCGCACAAACAACCATACCCAGAAACCCATAGACCCCAACAGAGACCCATACATTCCTACAGACACTCAGACTCACACAGAGACCCCATACTCACAGAGACCGATAGACATGCACAGAGACCCATAGCCTCACACAGAGATCCATACACTCAAAGGCCCAAAAACTCACACAGAAATCTATAGATTCGCACAGAGGTCAATAGAATTAGAATTTGAATATTTATTTATACTGGATGCATCTGATGAGCTATAACGATCTGTTTTCACAGACGTCCAATCTTGTGGGTCAGAAAATAACAAAAATACGATACAAAAACATCACAGGAAAGGTAAACAAATTGTTTCGAAATATACAAATTAAACTGAACTCTTTTTATCTTACCATAGACTCATACAAACATGTTGGACTCGCACAGAGACCTTAACCACTAAACCTCGAACAATTAAAACCCTCTAAACCCCTAACTATCTAAATCCATAACCATCTAAACCGCTAACCCTCTCAACCCATTTACCCTTACAACCCTAATCTTTAAACCCCTCGCCCTCTAAAAGCTTAAACTCTAAACCACCAAAACACTAACCATCTCAACCCCTAACCCTCTAAATTCCTATACCCCTAACCCTCAACCCCTTTACCCTTAAAACCCTAACCCACCAAAACCCTCACTCTCTAAACCCCTTATTCTTTTAACCCTAACCGTCTAAGCCAATAAAAACCAAAACTTCGAAACCCTCTGAATCCCTAACCCTCTAAACCTTGAAACCCTAACCTTCTAAAACCCTAAATCCTTAACATTCTAAATACCAACCAATCTAAACCACTACCCTCTAAAGAACTAACCCTCTAGACCCCTAACCCTCTGAACTCATAACCTCCTAAATCCTCAACCTCTAAAACCCTAACCCTCAAACCCCTAACGTTCTAAAACCCTAAATCTGTAACCTAATCCCAACACATTTAAACCCCAACCCTCTAAAGAACGAACCCTCTAGACACCTAACCCTTAAAACACCTATGCCCCTAAAATGCTAACCCTCTAAACACATAATCCACTACACCCGGAACCCTCTAAACCCATAAAGGTTTTTTTTGTTAGATTATGTAAATATAAACGTGTCGTTAAACCAACCACCACCTGAAACAGCCAATTAGTAAAATTTGTCACATCAACAAAAAGTGCCATTTAGTGTTGGAGACTAAACCAAAAAAAACCTTTATTATGGACAATATTAGTTGTGAAAGTCTACGTGTTAAACCCTCAACTCTCAAACCACTAAACCCGTAACACTGTAAATCACTAACCCTTGAAACCCCGATACCTCTAAACCCCTAAACACATACCCTTATAACCTCAACTACTAACCATCTATCTAAACCATTCAACATCCAACAATCGAAACACAAAAACCTCTAAACACGTAACTCTCTAAACCCCTAACCCTCTAAAACCCATAAACCTCTAAACACGTAACTCTCTAAACCCTCTAAACTCAAAACGTTCTAAACTCTAACCCTCTAAACACCAAATCCTCTGAAGGACTTTCGCCTTAAGACCCCAACCGTCTAAACACCTCACCCTATAAAATGGCAACCCATAAACCCCCAACACTCTTAACTGCCTAAACCCTTAACCTTATAAACCCCAAACCGTCGAAACCCCTAAACCTGTAAAACCGTAACCCACTAAACCCCTCACCTTATAAACCCCTAATCCCCTAAACATCAAAACCTCTAAACCCATAACCTTCTAAAACTCTTCTGTGAACAGGTGTCTTTTATACAGGTAACAAGCCGAGATTAGGAGCACTCCCTTTAAGAGTGTGCTCCTAATCTCAGCTCGTTACCTGTATAAAAGACACCTGGGAGCCAGAAATATTTCTGATTGAGAGGGGGTCAAATACTTATTTCCCTCATTAAAATGCAAATCAAGTTATAACATTTTTGACGTGCGTTTTTCTGGATTTTGTTGTTATTCTGTCTTTCACTGTTCAAATAAACCTACCATTAAAATTATAGACTGATCATTTCTTTGTCAGTGGGCAAACGTACAAAATCAGCAGGGGATCAAATACTTTTCTCCCTCACTGTAAACCCAAAACCCTATAAACTCCTAACCCTCTAAACCCCTTTACCCTCTAAACTCCTTTACTCTTAAACCCCTTTACCCTGAAAACCCTAACCCTCTAAAACCATGTACCCCAAATAGACTTATCCTCTAAACACCTAACCCTCTAAACCCCAACCCTCTAAACCCTTAACTCTCGAATCCCCTCAACCCCTAAACCCTATAACCCTCGAAATCCCTAAACCTCTAAACCCCTTATCCCTGAAATAACCCAAAACCTCTAAACCCTTAACTTTATAAATCCCTAACCCTCTAAACCCCTAACCCTTTGTGTGGAATGTGGTGGGGGTGGGATCATGGGGTGGGTGGGTGCAATGTGTGTGTGGTGTGCGTTGGGTGGTGGGTATCACAGGGGGGTGAATGGGTGCAGGGTGTGTGTGGTGGGTATGGTGATAGTGGTTGTGGTTCACAACGATCCGTGACCACCACCACCACCTCTACTGTGTGGTGGACCGGCCACCACACAGCAGCATGCGTCGGAGGAGTGAACGGATGGTTCTCCCTATGCGGGCCAGACTCCCTCGCTTCCTCTTCTCCTCCTGCATCACCATCACCTGATCCTCTTTCCTTGTCATCTCCTCCACCAATGTCTCCTCCACCTGCACCACCAGCTCCTCCTCCTGCTCCTTCGTCCATACCTCCTCTGTCTCCCCCTCATCGCTTCTTCCTGCACCACCAGCTCCTCCACCAGGGTCTCCTCCTCCTGCACCACCAGCTCTCCACCAGGGTCTCCTCCTCCTGCACCACCCGCTCCTCCACCAGGGTCTCTTCCTCCTGCACAAACAGCTCCTCCACCAGGGGTCTCCCCTCCTGCACCACCAGCTCTTCCACCAGGGTCTCCTCCTCCTGCACCAACCAGTTCTTCCACCAGGGTCTCCTCCTCCTGCACCAACAGCTCCTCCCCCTCCTCCACCAGGGTCTCCTCCTCCTGCACCAACAGCTCCTCCACCAGAGTCTCCTCTTCCTCCACAACAACCGTCAGCCATTTAGAGGCCTGGGTGAGCGCGGAGGATGGGGGCAGCGCCGGCTCCGCTCTGTAAAGAGATGCGCACGACACCGTTCCAACTTCCTGCTACAGCAGAGATCGCACTCCCCCCCCCCCCCCCCCACCATCGTGCGGAGATAGATTAACCAGGTTAATAACGATGCTGCAGTAACGCAGCATACCTTTGCCCATCGTGGGTCTGGTTACAAAATGGGCATTAGTCTTGCGATATCACACTGGATGAAAGGCTACATGGCAAAGATATGGCTGCTTCATTATTTGTCCTTCACCCAGAAACCAATTATAAAAATACATCCGTATATAACCGAATGTACACGTGGGGTTTGAACTGTACATGTGTTCGTTTGCAGGCGGCAGGGCTGGAACTCACAGAGGGACCTGGGTTTGATGCCCAAACTTGGGCCACTTTCTCCGTGTGGAATGTGGAGTGTGTTCTACCCCCCCCCCCCCCGTTTTATCCTGCATTGGTTTCCAAAATCAGAATAAATTATTTAGACTGGATGAAGAGGAATCCGATAAGCTATGAAGCTCTTCTTTCACAGATATGCAGTCGAGGCACAGGGTCAGCAAGTTACAACAACAAACAAAAGAAAATGAGTGCAAAGTGTAAAAATGTAAGCAAGTCACAAAATAACTGAGCATATAAGCACAAAGTACGTAAAATCCTGCCAGTTTTTCAACACTAAATACAAATTTAGGGGTTGTTACGGGAAGAAAGGCGGACAAACACAAGGGTGTCTGGACCCACACACGGGTGTCTACATCCACGTCCGCATCGGTTAACCCTGGGGGGGCATGGGGGCGTTGTGATCCCCCATAGCCCCACCCCTCGGAGAGGATTCTTATAAAAGGCGGGGAGCCAGAGGGCTCGAGGCCAGTGTGTTAGACGCTTACCAGAGAAGACTGAAGACCGGCAGAATAGGCCCTGGAACTCCCCTGGCTCGCTGTCCTTGTCAGGGCCGAGCAGGGCAAGTGGCGCGGCCCCAAGAGCTCCAGGACCGCTGCTCTTGTAAGAGCACGGCCTGGTTAGCTGGGTGCCGGGATCCGTGCTTGACCAGGGCCGGATCAGATAGCCTCCCCTAGCACTCATAGCGGAGGACTGGGAATAGGAGAAGTCAGGGGATAGTGCTAGGGGTGTTTCCCATTGAGTACGGGTGAAGGGGCCGTTACCCCTTCAAGTATTGTTACCGCCTTTTGGTTAAATAAAAGAGTGTGCCTCAACTACGTCGTCTGTCTCCCTGAGAACTCACTACACTTGTATAAGTGTAGTGTATCGTGTAGTGTATCGTGTCGTGTATAGTGTAGTGTGTAGGTTAAACGTTGAGTTTTATAAGGGCACCACGGGGTGACCAGCCCCTCCCCACCCAGCCCCACCCCTCCCACCCCCCACCCAGCCCCACCCTCCCCACCCAGCCCCTCCCCTCCCCCAGCCCCTCCCCACCCTCCCCTCCCTCAGCCCCTCCCCACCCTCCCATCTCCACCCAGCCCCACCCCTCCCACCCCCACCCTCCCCTCCTCATGCACGACAGACAAATAATCCCTGGTGGGCAGTGTGGAATCTGTTGTTCCTACCGGTATAACAGTGGGAAATATCTGAACCGGTCCTGGGCCTCCCCTTGATCGACTCAACCTCAAATGAGTACCTGATACAGTGGGTACACATCACCACGAGGGAGACAAATGCGTGGTGTTGGCTACCCACTCCCCTGTGTACTGTGCCCGTCCTCTGTAGGTCCTCACTAACACCACTTGCCTCAAAAATTTGTTAAGGCTATGAGGGGGGATCTTTGTCTTTGTACAGTGGCATTGGCTACGTATAAACTGATACTTTGAACGGAGTTTATAATACAGCATGGCCTACGTGTAACGCATCATATACCGTGTAGACAGCACCATGAAAGTGTGTGCCGTATAATACAGAGTATGTGTAAAGGAGCATAGCCTGTGCACGTACTGCAGCGTTACTTTGAACTGAAACGTGGCATGGCCGTTATGTGTAGAACAGCATTTCTTGTGTATATGTAGTGGGTTCCCACGGAGACTGGAGACGTAGCTTAGAGGCAACACGGTTTATTTAAATCTTATAACAGAAGCCCCTTTTACTCCCACTACTTGGGGAGGTATGGCCTCCGGGCTAACGTGCCCTATCACTGGGGCTACGGGCTCTGAGTCCTCCGACTAAGGGTGGCCTAGGGGAGGCTATGCTGACCCGACCCAGCCAAGGTGCGGGTCTCAACCACTGGTCCGTGCTCGGCCCCGCCCCTTAAAAGGACGTCGGGTCCCGGGGTCCCAGGGTCCCAGGGTCCCGGGGTCCCAGGGTCCTAGCCTAGCCGGTCTTCAGTCTTCGTCTTCAGAGCACTGCCTCGGGCCGTCCTGGGGTCCGTCTTTTATACCCACCTCGGGGACTCTCCACCCCCGGTACCGCCCCCTTTCTGGAACCTTCCAGGTGGCTCTGGAATAACCCCCCAACCCCTCACCTGTGGTCGGGGGGGGGGAACTCGGCCTCTCAACGGTCCCGGTTCTCTCTCTAACTCACGGTGGCACCCCCTGCAGACTCGTGCCCGCAACTACAGGTGGTGTGTGCTTTGCATTTCCGACGCTACATATACAGCAAGAAATACTCTACATAGAGAGAGCATGGCATCTGTGTGTGTGTACTGCATGACACACGGTGTACGGTGTGTAATCCACAGTGATGGGCTGCTGCTGCTGCACCTGTTGACGTTGATGTCGGGGCAGGCAGAGTCCTCGCTCCGGGTCCCGGTGGCGTTGCTCCGGGGGAACGTGCAGAAGAAGGCGTTGGCCAGGAGGCAGGCGGCCTGCTCCTGAGACATCGTCAGCATCAAGCCGGTGTCCCGGCGGAGCAGCGGCAGGGGCTGGGGACACGTGCGGTGCACAGGGCGCAGCGACGTCACACGCGGCAACGGGTGGCACGGGGTTGCAGAGGAGCAACGGCGCAATGGTAACACCGATGCAGAGCACTGAGCCTGCAGCACTGGGATGCTGGGGTCTGGATCAAGGAGTTCTGAAATGCACGTAAACCAGATTATTGTTGTACACGTGAGGTTAATGCTGCAGCCCTGCAATTACTTGCTCATGCAACTGCTGGTGAAAGAACCTCCACTAGAGGGAGGTCTAGAGTGCCGATCCGGTGGGTATGTTTTGGCCAACTTTTCCACACTGACCATTCGTCTTGAAAGAGGTGGGAGTACTCGCCATTTAGCCCACTGCA